GCGATCCGCCGGCTTTACAGCCGGCGGATCGCATGTATATTAACGGGCATCGCTGCCCGTTTTTAAATTGCGGCCATTTCCCGCGCGCGCGCGCAAGGGGGCGTGCCTAAGCGGACGTCTAAAGACGCCCGCTCAGATCTAGAGAGCTCCTGGCCGGTCGTTTTTTTTACTACGGCCGGTCCGGAGGCAATTAATCTTCAACACACAACATCCACTGGGCCTGTCGAATGATTGCACCAAAATACTACTTTGATATAGGAATTTGTGGTACTGAATAATAAACACTAGTGGCAAATAAAAAAAATTGCAGTGTGGCCTTTAGTATACAGACAGATGGTACTCTTATAGCAGGGATGTCCAAACTGCGGCCCTCCACCTGTGGTGGAACTATGAATCCCATGAGGCTTTGCAAGATTCTCACAGACATGACTCCCGGAGAGAGATGCTTCATGGGATTTGTAGTTTCACCACAACTGGAGGGCCGGAGTTTGGACATCCCTGTCTTATAGAGACTTAACTTGTTGCTGCTAAACGTACGCATGTGACAGAATGGCGGTGGGCCTTAGCGCCATGCTGTCACATATGTGCTAGGAAGGGCTCCCAATCACATGACCTCTGTGACAGCCAATCATAGTGATAACATGTTTGCTCTGTGTGCAAAGTACACTTTAAGAATCATATAACAATATATTGGAATGTCTCTCCCACACCGGATGGTTTTTAGTCCAAATAATGGGTGTTGTAGTGACCAGACAAATGGTTCCATAGTGTGTCACCTCCATTGCAATGCTTCACTTCAAGGCTCCAAAAGATTTATGCTTTTCTTGCTGATGCAACACTAAAGTTCTGTTGAAATGATGCATTGATGCGCTGCTCACATGCTGCTAATTAATGATCCTTTGAATACGAAGATAGTAGATTCACTGACTATACTAAGCCTGGCCAGAATCCACTTCCTTCTCCAAAGCTCCAGCAGCCACTACTTGCAGGGCATGTGCCCTCTCTGTTACGTTGCAGCAATTGGATACACTGGCAGGCCTTTGTGGAACACTTGATTGTGGATGAAGATGGGAGTATTGTACTTTCTTTTACAACTGAACATCAAAAAGGTTCATCAGGACGTTCCCAGTCATTCATATTGTCTGTCAGTGGCCCAGAAATTGATGGTTCCATGCACTTTAGACCTTGTCAGTAGGAAGTCACTGAAGACTTACTTTTATCCACCAGAATTAATGTTCCAGCTACATCTTCAGACTTCAATAAATGACTTTCATAGTGGTATTAGGGGTATCAGAGGTAAGCCTGCCACCATAAGTATTTCCAACATAAGTTTTGGAAAACTTAGCCTAAGGATGGCTGCTGAAGGCTTTTTGATTTACAATGTAGTTGCTATTTCTAACCTTTGTCAAGATGGAATAGATAAAGGACCTTCTATTTGGACTCTTCAGGAACAGAAAATACCTTTTCTTTTACACCTCAAGGTGGTCTGCAGCACACGGTATTGCACTACCATTCATTGTGGCATGTTGTTTTGTAAGAAAGTATCTGCAAAAAATAAGTCACGGCAACTGGACTTGCTGTATTTTTTAAAGACGTTTCACTGGTCATCCAACCAGCTTTCTCAAGTCAGAAATTCTGACTTGAGAAAGCTGGTTGGATGACCAGTGAAACGTCTTCAAGAAAAATACAGCAAGTCCAGTTGCCTTGACTTATTTTTTTACAGATATACCATGACCTGGATGAATGAGAAACTTCACAGACATATTTGTAAGAAAGGTGAAGGTAACTGTTTTGTCTGCTCTGGTGCATTGGAAGTTCATGCAGACAAAGCGGTTGATTAATGCAAAGCATCGCAGCAGACAGGTGTGCAACTAGCCTATACTTCCACTATTCCATGTGGGTGCAAATGTAACTGATATAGAATGAGTAATGTGTCTTTTCTTGTTCTAGTGCCTCAGGATTAGGACTTCTCTCTGACCAGCAGAGGCAGATCCTTCTTCACCAGCAACACCAGCAGTTCCAGCAATTCATGAGTTCCCAGCAGCTCACTCCCGTAAGTCACCCAGAAATGACAAGGCCATGTGATGACACTGTCAGGCATAATCTTATGTTATAATTGATATTACTAGGATTAAAAATAATTCTGTCCTCTTGCACCTGACCTCTGTTAGCTTCTCCAGTTTTTAAGGCCATCATAAGACATTTCAAATTCGACAGTTCCCAAATATATATCTGTACAGACAAGTTCCTTTTAATTCTGTAGACTGTAGCTGAGTTCCAAACCCTTGCCCATATCTACAACATTACTAGTACAGTTAGTATTGGTAATGACTGCAGTAGAAGAGTTGTAGGAAACTCCTCCATTAGCTTATGTTCGGCTGCCCAAGTAATCAGATAGTTCTGTTTTGCTCCAGGTTTTTCTTTGTAAACCAGCCCCAGTGATGCAAGCAGATGTATACAGCTGTGTCTAATACTATTTCCATGTGTTAATCAACTTCCTTTTGTTTTTCTCATCCAGGAACAACATCATGCTCTGCTTTATCAGCTGATGCAGCACCACCAACACCCACAGCAACACCATCAGCAAGAACTACAGCATTTGCAGCTCCCTGCCACAGCACAGCTACCACTAAACAACCTGCTGGCTGGTGCCCAGGCCACCTCACTCCATTCCACGGCCACTAACCCCTTTTTGGCCATGCACACGGACAGCACGGGCCAGAAAGTGGCAGTAAGTATCTATTACATCACTAATATAGTGGGACATCATGCACTATTTCTGTAGCATATCAGTAGCTCGTAACAACCAAAGATCAGATATCTACTGTTAGAGTGCATAGAGTGCCTGCTTCTGATTGGCTACAGCACCCAACTGCTAGTGATTGCATTGCTTGTTTACACCTGATGCATTCTGCGTGACCCATGAGCTGATGGTTGGGTAATGCAGTTCTCTGGGTAGGTTTCCTAAACTATTTTGAAGAAGAAAATGGGTACCGCAGCATACATAGCAAATTTTCTCTACAAGCGATCACCCCCTGTCTGAATGGTATGGGTTGGATGTCTAGCCTTTTTCTGTGAATGGTCATATTGGATCATGACTTTCATCACTAGTGCTTCTCAGCACAGCACTGTTACCTTTTAGTGCAGGTGCAGGTTACCTTTCTGGAGTTGGATTAACTTTTATTGTGGATATATTTTTAAGATGTTGGAAAGTGCGTACAATGCAGAACCCAAACACTGAGACCTATTAACCCTTTGTTAGGACAGACAAGGGGGAGTTTATCAGAATCTGGAGCAGTTTCCAATGATGACCAATCAGCTTCCATCTTTCATTTTCAAAGCTTTACTGAACAAACTGAAGAGAGAAGCTGATTGGTGGAAATGCACATCTGCTCCAAATTTTGTCTGCTTCAGTTATGATAAATATCCCGCACTGTGTTCAGATGTAGTTTACAACTGATAATGAGATGTGCCAGCACAGTACAGACAGTGTTAATATTGGTAAACATTAACTCCCAGGCCCCCTCCTAAACATTACAAAGCAGTTGAAAACATCAGTTTTGGAGCTTTCAGGAAAGAGCAAGTCTAAAAAGTAAGCAGCAATTTTAATCACTGTTTTCCCAGTTAGGTGTTATCCCAATTTGGCTGCAAAAGTGGAAATGCACTTATGCTGTATCCATAAGTGTAAGTGTTAGGGCATAGGATGAAAGTTGAATATACAGTCATGGCAAAAATATTGGCACCCCTGCATTTCTGTCAGATAATGCACCACTTTGCACTGAAAATTGTTGCAATTACAAATGTTTCGGCATTCTCATGTTTATTTATTTTGTTTGTATTGGTATGACACAAAAAAGTGGAGAAAGAAAAAGCCAGATCTGACATTCCACACAAAACTCCAAAAATGAACTGGACAAAATTATTGGCACCTTTTCCAAATTAGAAGAAATAATTGCATTCCAAGTTTGTGATGCTCCTCTAATTTGTAATGAAACTCACCTGTATCAATTAACAGTTACTGACAATATAGAAATCTCACCGGCAACCAGTTAAAATGGGGAAAATTGACTCCAACCTTTCTGCTGTGTGTCTCTGTGTGCAGCATGGAGAAGAGCAGCAAAGAATTGTCTGAGGATTGGAGAACACAAATTGTGGAAAAGCATGGACAACCTCAAGGTTAGAAGTCCATCTCCAGAGATCTAAATGTTCCTGTGCCACTGTGCGAAACATTGTCATGAAGTTTACATCCCATGGCACTCTAGCTAATCTCCCTGGACGTGGACGAAAGAGAACAATTGATCAAAGATTGCAACGGAGGATTGTTGGAATGGTGGATAAAGACCCTCCATCAACTTTCAGAAAAATTCAAGCCGACCCTCAGGGCTTGTTCACACGATGTCCGGATTCTGTCCGGACCAGAACAGTTCGCTCCTGCGCGAAAAATGCATCCCAATGTATCCCTATGTGTTTTTATGGGCTCCAGTTCTCACCAGCGCAGTCCGTTCCGGACAGAAAAAATACTGCATGTCACATTTACTCCGGAACGCGTCAAAAACGCACCGCACTGCAGTTATCAGCCTACAGCCCCACTCCACAAAAAAAGGAACTGGAACGCGGTAATGACGTGTCACACAACGCTCAGGCACAACTGTGTCAGCTTGCACTATACGTCGCCATCTGAATGAAAAGGAAAGCTATGGTAGGAGACCCAGGAGGACCCCACTGCTGACACAGAAACATCAAAAAGCCAGATTGGAGTTTACCAAAACGTACTTGAGGAAGCGAGAATGTGCTGTGCACAGACAAAACAAAATTACTGCTTTTTGGCCCATCATTCTACTGTTTTCAGAAAAAGAAATGAGGCCTTTAAAGAAAACAATACAGTCCCTACAGTCAAACATGGTGGAGGTTCACTGATGTCTTGGGGTTGCTTTGCTGCTTCAGGCACTGGATGTCTTGACTGTGTGCATGGCATAATGAGATTTAAAGACTACCAAAGAATTCTGGGGTGCAATGTAGGACCCAGTGAACAGAAGGTTGGGTCTCCGTCAGAGGTTGTGGGTCTTACAGCAGGACAATGACCCAAAGCATACATCAAAATGCACCCAGAAATGGTTTCAGACAAAGCGCTGGAGAGTACTGGACTGACCAGCAATGAGTCCAGATCCAAATCCCAAAGAGCACCTGTGGAAAGATCTCAAAACAGCAGTTGGGAAAAGGAGCCCTTCCAACCTGAGAGATCTGGAGCAGTTGGCAAAACAAGAGTGGTCCAAAATTCCTGTAGAGAGGTGTAAGAAACTCATTGATGGTTACAGGAAGCGATTGGTTTCAGTAATTTTTTCCAAGGGCTGTGCTACCAAATATTAATTGAGGGTGCCAATAATTTTTGTCCAGTTCATTTTTGGAGTTTTGCGTAGAATGTGTCGGATTTGGGGGTTTTTTTTCTCCACTTTTTTGTGTCATACCAATATAAACAAAAGAAATAAACATGAGAATGCCGAAACATTTGTCATTGCAACAATTTTCTATGTGAAGTGGTGCATTATCTGACAGAAATGCAGGGGTGCCAATATTTTTTGCCATGACTGTAGGTCATGGTAGGTAATTAAAACACTTTTTTTGTGTGCTTTAAATTTTTCACCCAGATGTGCTACTTTGGTCTGGTGACGCCTAAAAGTAATGTACTAGTACACGTAAACATTGTCCTGGTTACTTACAGCCCCCAGCACTGGCGCTGAGATGTCACATAGTCCGTAGTGGGTAGCAGACTGTTGAACTGTATAGCGGAAACAAATACTAATTTTTTATTTCACTGAACCTGAAGCATTTACGGTGAATATAAGCTGGTGCTAATCATTTTAGTAAATCAGTCTAAAAATATTAATTCGGAAAAGTAAGAGGAAGACCTTGAATTTCCAAAGAGGAGAGAGTCTGGAGAGAGCAGCCAGCAGTGAGAATAGCTGAACACCGATCAAGAAGCATGAGTGTGCAGTAATGACAATGAGATTTTGCTCTCATCAGGTCATTGGCAACTTTAGTAAGACATTTTCAGAGTAATGATTAGGATGCAGTTTGGATTGTAGAGGATCTAAAGCTTTGGCAGAGAGATTCCTTGCTGGTTTTGAGTGAACACAGTTTAGATGAGAAGAGCCCTTAGCACATTAAAGCAGTTTGGTGTCTTCTTGGATCCAGGTGGAGCCAACACTCTGGGCTAGTTCAGCCCACAGTATTTCGGTGGTTGGATAACTGACCATTTATAACAGGGATATCCCTGGATTCTTCTGAATTATGAGACAGGCAGGGTTATTCACTAAAGGGTGAAGAGTTTGGAGAATGCAAGAGAAGTGAACAATCTAGGACAACATAGCTGAATTGGAAACCTTTTCCATATAAGTTATTTTGTCCTAGATCATCAACTTCTCCTGCCTTCTCCAAACTCTTCACCCTTTAGTGAATAACTCTGTAAGGTTCTTTACAGTGAGCATTTTAAAGTGAATGTGTGCTTTGCTCATGCTGTCACTTGCTCCTCCATACCCAGAAGCACCACCGCGAAAGGGAGCAGCAAGGAAGAAAGTATACGCTTGTGGTCGGGATAGGGCGATTAAAGCGAACCTGTTGCTTTGCCCTAAGTTTTCTGATACTGATCCATGTAGTCACATCCAGAGTTGAGATCATAGAGTTACTGATTTTTAATATTTTTAATTTCTCTAATAATTTGAATATTCTTTAAAACTATTCTCTTTCTCCTCAGAGGCTTGGCGATAAACAAGGACCAGTTATGCAAGATAAGAGTTGATGTGGAGGAAAGCCAGAGGTTTACACATCCACCTGGCACTTGGCTCCTTACAGACGTCTTCCTTGAAGTAGCAAAGAAACAATGCAAACGGAGAAAAAGAAAAAGACTTGACCTTCTTATCTCTGCAGTACCGCACGGACACACAACACATATCAGCCTGTTGTGCGGCCTGCTGGTTTCACGAGGGATTGACAAAGCCTTTTTTTCGGAGGCTTTAGATATTTATTCGTTATAAATGTTCTTGTTGCTTTGTTGCACTGAAATGCGACTGTATTCATTTGGAGAAAGGTAAAAACACTGTTGTCACTATGGTCGGATCCAGGATGTGTGCTTGCTGGTACATTCGTGCAATTCCTATCCAAACAATAAGTTCTTGCCACTGGTTACTTTAAGGTATTAAGGAAAAATAATTGTTCGGATGGGTATCCCAGCAGTTCTTGTTCTATGGTTTATATGGCAGCACCGTTTTCTTCTATTAAAAGTGCCTGTTGCTGAAGCTTGAGGCGAGACTGCAGATGAGCAGTCAAATTGCACTCGTGGCTCGGTCTGTCTGCGATGCCACTAATGGCGCCTGTGGTTCGATGTTGTTTATTTCTCAACAAAGGAGTTATGCAAACATGTGGACCCTCGACACTTTGTGTTTGTGTTACATGACTGAATTTCTTACATCAACTCAATTTCTTTTTCCTGCTCCGTACTAAAACTGCCATGGAAAAAAAAAATGGTAATTGTTTCCTAAAGTTTCCAAACATTGGTGACTGTTAGTCATACTGAGAGATGCTTCCTTCGGGTTCTTCCACCTTGGTGTCTTTTCACTAAAAGTGATCACTGGATTTAGATTTCTTAGTGTGGAAACATGACACATTCACCCCTTTTCACTGCCGTCATGGCTGGCTGTGATTTTTTTTTAATGTTCATCACAATTCAAACCTTTTTCCACGTTTCTGTTGCAATGGGCTGCTGATCAAATTTAGACAATACAAAGGTTCTGCTGCTGTTCAGCATGGTGTAGGACTATTCATGTTAATATACTGACAGCCTCTATGTATATATAGTTTATGTAAATTTTTGGAGTTAGAGTTAATTCCCTTTAAATATTGATTAAATAAAAAAATCTCACTGCTTCCTTTTCTCACTATAACTTTGGTGAAGGGCCTGGTACTTACTAAAAACCTTTATTTGTAGTGGAGGTGAAGAGAATGATTAATTCAGAACCTAATTAGTCCAGTAAGCATCACTTTGTGTCCAGAGGACGCTGGTTTCCTTTGACATCCGCAAGGTGCAAGCAAAGACATGTCTGCCTGGCTAATCCTGAACAATTCCCAGGAGCCAGTGAGATAATGCGCCTACAAAAATCGACATTTCTGTCAACACTTCATACTGCTGATCATAGAATCACGTGTTCCATGGCTTCTTAAAGATTGCAAACTCGATCTTATATTGCTCTATAGGTCCCCCATCTATACATTTTCCATCTCAATCTTAAATTAGTCCATATGGCCCCCCATCTATACATTTTCCACCTCTGAGGTATACACATTAGAATTATAAAGTAAACACTGCCATTGCATTTGGACACTTTAATTTTCATCCATTCTGCCACTTAGAGATCAGCTTGGAGTCATGCCACCAATTGTACCTAGTAATACCTTGCAGTGGGAACGTGAAAGTAACATGTATCTATCTCTCGTATAGGCTGGTAGTTGACTGAAGGAATACTGTGCCTAGCAGGAGGTCCACTTATATTGCAAGTTCTGAGGAAATGTATTGGCTGCTCCTTTGATGTATTGGTACAGCTCATAAAAATTATCTGCTTTCAATATATACAAACAGGTACCCTTTATGGCTCATACACACATGTACTGGATACAGACGTCTTTAGTGCAACATCTCCAAACACTCTCTCGTGCTCTCCCTGCGGCGGAGGAACAAACCCGTTCAGAGTGTGCAATATGAATGAACAAGGATAGATGCCGCAGTCCATACTGCTTTAGACAGAGCCACAAAACGCATAGTGAATCAAGGTGCCCTTGGTTGACAGGAGAAACATTCTCCAAGTGGCCTGTTTTGACTCCATTGTGTACAGGCCTAATCACTAAGCAGATACATATGGAGGGTTTACTTTCCCAAGACCTGGGGAGATTATAGTAAGCTTGTAGAGTTCATGCAGACTGTCCATCTCATTCCACAGAGCTCTGTGTTATAAAGTATAGAGTTCAGCAATAAGCATTTCCTGAACATAGAGCTACCATAATAATCTGGACATGTTGGAATATGGGATTCAACCATTACTTTAAAATGTGTCGCCGCATGTTCAGACTAATGCATGCTTTCCATTTAAAGGTCAGATATACCTGATTGACAAATTCATGTCTTACTTGAAGCTGTCCTTTAACACATATCTCTGATAGTACATAACATTGCGGGGTAAATAGTGTTTGTTACCTGTTTTGTAGTAACTGTGCAGCCTTCCAAGTATCCATCATGCTCAATGGGGAAGTAATCCGTTTTTCAATGCTGCCATGAGGGAACCATAAACAGGCAAGATGCCGTGTCTACGCAAGCATTTCAGCTGTACGTTAGTGTTGGCTGACCCCTGTACAGGCAATAAACCGAATTTCAAGAATATATCTAGGCAACAAGTAACCACCAAACCTGTTTATTGCTAATGCTATATTCGAACGTCACCCTTATCTTAAAGATGACAACAAAGGCACCTTTAGAAATGGCAATCTACAAATAGATACTTCTAGATAATTGCTGGCTTTGTATTCTTAATGTACCATATTTTTCTTCTCCTTCCCATTCTTCTAACCGTGGCCATTTTCACTAAGGGCAGATGAATCCGTCTCTTTTTACTTCCTGGAACGCTGGGTCTACCTCCTGGACCTGAGGGGGAAAATGCTTTCCTCAGAGAACTTGCGAGATAATTCAGTTTACAGATGAGATTTTGGAGGAAGACACTGGTGATGTAGCATTCCCAGGATGCATCTGTGAGGCCAGGGCTAAATCACCAGTGCCTCACTCAACCAGGAAATGGAAAAAAAAAAGAATTGTAAACAAAATCAAAAAATATGTTCACCTGATGAATGTAAGATGAGTTCATACCAGCATGCAAAGCTCCATGCTAATATGATTTTTAGTGAAAGGGGGGTAAAGGTCATCTTTAAGTATACACTAATCAGATTGTTATATAATTCATCACAGCCAGCTTCAGGAGACTCGTCCAGGTTGTCCTTGGACTTGAACTAATCTGGCATGAGGCTCAGAGAGGGGCCAGGGCCTGAACTAGTGAGCACATTGGGCTGCACTTTCATTGGCCCAGATTTAGAGCCATCTAGAAGGTGAGTTTATCGGCAGACACATGAAAGAGATGAATGCCAATGTAACCTATCCAGCCTCTTTGCATCTCAGCAGTGTCCCTGAGCTGGAGAAGACGGGAAGGTCTCATGTATTACTAAATAGTAAATGGTAGAGCCATTCTAATCTGCCATTGCTGACATCCTTCGAAGAATAGAAGGCTTTAAACCTTTTTTTTTTTTATTGGACACAGACACTTGAAATGTCTGTCTTGGTGTAATGGAGCAGAACAGGAGATGAAACGCTTTCTATATACTTGCAATCTCCCTGCCCTGCCTTGCAGTGTCATATTTGTCAGGAAGGAGGAGTTTTCCTTTTAGGTTTGTTTTTTTTCGCTCTTGATTTGTATAGTGTCATTAAAAACGTACAGCCTGACATTATAGCGTTGTACGGAAAGGCTGCAGCGATCGGTGAAAGGATTTCTGATGCGTCGTTAAATGTTTGCATTATTAATGGTAATCGAGAAGCAGACCCCCGATGTAATCTGACCTCCACTGTGCGTCTGACTGAGAGAACACAACCCTCCACAGTCCTTACCTCATTCTGTACATAAGCTTTTGTGAAATCTGTTTTTGTTTTTTTTGTATTGTTTAAGGAAGAGAAAAGTAATAATTCATATGGAAACAATATTTTGATTTGTAATATTTCTAATCGGCAGATTAAAGTCAAATTAAAATTAATTTATTTTTATATTTTCTGGAGGGGCGGGGTTTAAAGCCTTGGTAAATGATTTTCTACGCACTCATTTTCTACGTAAAATGGGGGGCAGAGTGGTTCAGTTTTGTATTAACGATTACTTCAACACATCGGTGGGTGCTTAAAATATACCTTGATGTCAAATTTCCATGTGTATTGATACAAATGTACAGAAGCATTGAAAATAAATTTTAATGTATCCATGGACGATTGTTTAACTACTTTTCTTTTTTCTTTTACTAGATTAAATATTTTCAAGGTTGCCTGTTTTTGCAGCTGCCAATGTTTGCCTTGTGTCTGTGCTTCATTGCTTTTCTTATCTTCTACGGGAAGGTCTTCCTGCCCATATGAAGCTTTGCTGATGCACGTGTATACAGTTGGTAATGTATTTGGTGTGGAGGGGTGGGAATAGCTGATACAGTGGGAATGGAATGTCTGAAGCTCATAGTTGAGGAAGTTTGGGCTGCAGGTGTAAAAGGAATCTGTTTTCATAATAATGAAGGGACGTAGTTATCCAAATAATGAACATAGAAAAATTAGAGAGAACTTTTACTAAGCAGACAGCGTGTGTTATCGCATAGACCTATATGGTAAATGTTCAGGTTTTTGTTTTTTTATTCTGTTTGCTGGAATTTATTAAAAAAAAAGAAACATTTACTTCTTGAAAAAAAAAAAGAAACATTGGTACAGCATTCCCCTATCCTTCTTCATATGGGGGTGATGTGATGTCCCCCAGAACACCTCCATGCAGAGAGAGCCATAGGGGTGCATCCGGAATAGGGAAAATAAAACTTGTCCAATAGGTTAAAAAAAAAGCTCAATCTAGCTAAAATTGTCATGCAGCAGCAGCTTCAGTGATACAGGATTACAGAAAGACATATATAATGCATTGGTATTAGGGATGAAAAATTAATACATACCATAAATCGACAAGGAGAGCAGCAAGAGGAATGTGGGCCATAAGCGGGATTGAGGTGTAGGGTTGATTTTCTGAAGGCAAATAGGCGGTTCGCTTTGCATGGGAAGCTGGCCTTAGCTTAATGAATGTGATGACAGTGCACTTTGCAAAGAATACCCAATCATGTGCAAGGAATATAAAATTAAAAGAAAGTATGTTTGTTTACACATAATTGGTTGATGGAAGTCAGCAGAGCTTCACCCTATTCACTGAAAGAAGAGGAAACCTGCCTTGCAAAGTGAACAGCCTTTCTGCCTTCAGTAAATCAACCCCATTGTGTCTATACAAGAGGTCTTCGGGTGATTGTCCAGGTTGGAGATTTATGCTCATTGCCAAACAAGGGGGTGTCCAGCCAAGGTGCCCAAAACTTGAAGAATTTGAAGGAACACCTTCTGTCTCGGTAAGTAGCTTGATTCAATGTTAATAGGTTGCTTCCAGAAAAGTAATGTAGGGCGGGTTTTTTTTCTCTACAGCATTGCTATGGCCTTTCTGGTGTAGATATATAGTAAATTAACTATGACGTTGTGACTAGCTCAAGCACATGTTTAAGTAGGCAGCTTTTAGAACAAGGGTATGCAAACTCCAGCCCTTCAGCTGTGGTGAAGTACAAATCCCATCATGCATCCTCCTCTGGAACTCCTGCCTGTGGCTATCAGAGTCTTGCCATGCATAATGGGGGTTGCAGTGGCATCACAGCTGGAGGGCAAGAGTTTGCCTACCCGTTTTAAGATTGACTGCTGAAGGAGTCTTAAGCAGTTGCATGGGGTATTGGATCCCTGCCAATATATAGTGTTCATGGGGCAAGTCCAATAGCCATTGAAGAAATTGCCCTCAACATCTCCAACATGCAGGAGAAGTTGCAGGAAT